TGAGTTCAGTTTATCTTTCGTAAATTTTTAATTGCCGAAAATACCAATACAACGCTTAAGTTTAGTACCTACTATTAAATGAAGGCCAATTTTCTTCCCATAAAAATTAATTAAAATAGTCAGCTTTCAAGTTTCACACTCTTCACATACATATGTGCTATGGGTAATTTATTCAAAATGGACGCCAAGTCATTGGCAATTTGCCAATTTCGACTTCAAACGATTACTTTTCAGCTAACGCGTAGCCATGTCAGCACCCCTTCGTTCGCTTTATAGCCAAGCTGTCATCACCATTTGCAATTACTTATGCACTTTGTTAGCTTCCCACTGCACGACCAACACCGCCACACCCTCAAGGGAATGGGCATCGAATTGAAAGGAAAAGCGACTAAATTAAAAGGGATAAGCTTGGCTTTCGAATGGAATTGCGTGGCAAGTGAAAAGTGATAGGCAAAACGTGTGGTATGTCCGTACGCACTTTTAACGCTTCCTTTTCTTTGCCTATCCAAAAAAAAAAGGGAAACAAAAAGAATGGCAGAGAGTTGTACAAAATCATTATAAATGGTAAGCGATAGATTTTTTGAAGAAAGTTAAAGGAGCGCAATAAAGAAAGTCACATCAGTTGAGCTAATAGGCAGAGCAGTTTAAATATAACGGATATCAAAGTAATGATTTTAAAGACTTTGATAGATGAAAATAAAAAATATTTTTAATAGAGTTGCCACCTGTAAAAAGTATAAAATGGTTGAAATTCATGGGGGAAAAACAGCATTACGGTATAAATATCACAAGAGCGAAATTGATAAATAATTAGAGACATTTTTACTTCCATAGGGTTGCCACCTACATGCACATGTAAAGTTTTAAATAAATCAAGTGTAGTAGAATGTTAAGAAAATAAAACAATATTCATATCAAATGAAAGCAATTAAAATAAGGCTTGAATTCCGACATTTTCCTGAACCCTTGAGCTACACACTAGTAAAAATTATAATTTTTTTTTTAATTTTTATCTAGCGGTAGCAGTAATTTTAAACAACTTTGCTGAATTAGGAATTAAAATTAAGTAAAAACTAAGATATGAAAACAAATTAACAAGGTTTTTTTAAAAACATTTTATTCTAGTAATATATTTTTTTTAACAGGATTACCACCTACCTGAGAAATACAAGTTGATACAAAAATTTAGAAAATCATTCTTCGGAAAATTTTATAAGGTGTGTTCTCAGCCAACAACTTCATGCCAATGATGTAAAAGTCTCCAAAAAATTTAAATAAAAAATCAACAATAAACAAAAAAAAATTTTTTTTTGATTGTTGAGTTTGGCTGTTATTCTTTCTTGGCGAAGATTTTTTGTTTTAATTTTATAGAGACTTTTATTACAAAAAAAAAAATTCTTAGTAACAATATAAAAATGTTACTTATTTTCAAACAACAACTCACTAAAATTCCACAATTTTATGGTAATAAGACGAAAGTACTTGATTGAACTTTATTTTTGCACAGAGTTGCTAACGAACACACAAATTTAATGTGAGTAAAACGTACATAATGTAAGTTGTTAAATTATTATATTTTTGGCATGAAAAGAAAGTTGTTAAGGAAACATTTCTTCCACCAATTTTGTGAGTTTCATTCACAATTTCACTTAACTATGTACTACAATATGGGCATCAAATGAAATTTTTTTAAAGGTCATTCAATCCAGTCTATAGTCAATGAACAAAAGAATAAAAAGTAAATTGTGGAAAATTGCCTACAAATATTTTTCAAAAATGGCTAGAAGAGTACATTTTTTACCTAAATTAATAGTTTTTTTTAATTCTTGGAACGACTTTTAGAAACGATTGTCTAGACCCGAATTTCTTTTTGAAAGAAATTAGTCGAAAATTTCCTACTGTGCCAATGTGTTGAAGTAGTCTTTTATACCAAAAGATTTTATGTTGATGCATTTCAATATTACCGCAATCTTGAGTAGAGTTGCCAACCAAACAAAGAAATTATTGGGAATTTATTCGCTGAGATTTATTGAATATTGCATTTTGAGAACGAAATCAAAACCGTTGAAGAATTGAAAAAAAAATATTAATAAAATTAAATAATATGCACATCAAGCCTAGAAAGGATTACCTTTTGAGCATAAAACAGAAGGCGTTGAAGTGTAAAATCTTATATCTTATAAATTTAACAACTAACATCAATAATTTGTATTGGATAAGGTAGTGCGATATCGAAAGGTGTAAAAAATCTCAATATAAATATACTCGTGATTTGGATAGAAATCAAAGCAAACAAGTAATTTAAGAACAAAGACTTTTAAAGACAAGCTTTAATTGTTAATTAAAAGATACTTTTTTTTGTGAAATTAACGGACCATAAATAAGCTTCCAAATATCTCGAATCCTACGCCACCTAGAGCATTAATTCATCTTTCATTTGGCATTGTCATCGGGTTCTGAGCTAAGTTTCAAGTTTAAAGTCTCTAGTTCTACGTAAATTTGGCTAAAAATTGATTGCAAAATTTGATCACACAGAGGTGAAACTTAATATAAGCTTGTAAAAATTGAAATCATGAAGGCGAAAAAACATTATAATTTAGGGCTAAACCGGTAAGTCCTAAAGGAAAATTTTAGGCTGACTTATTTTTTTAAGTTATGTTGTCGTCTTGGAACAAGCTGAAGTATACTATATTCGATTTTCACACACATGAATGTACTCAGCTACAAAAGCAATAACAACTACGAATTGCAGACATTTGCAACTTCACTTTTTTCAACAACAGGATTCATAATCGCACATATGAACATCTATACTTTACTATGTACAAAAAATGCGTTCATATATACATACTACACAAGTTCATTAAGGTGTCTGACCAACAAGATAGCGGTTTTTCCACCGCTATTAAATTTAAATACTTTCGCCAAAATATGTCGGAAAAATATTAAGATTTAGGTGAGCTGTACCGATTAGAAAAGACCTCCGAAAATCGAGTTTTTTTTAATAAAATTGCAGGGCAATTCTCTCTCTCTCTTTTTCAACTTACCACAGTTTTTCGAAACACAAAAGTCTTTCGTAAGCCAATTGTCAATTCTGGCAGCTATCTTGAAAGCTCTTTATCGGCTTTCGAAAGACTAATTGAAAGATCTGCTAACGAGAAGAACTTAGCGTTATGCTGTTTGCCTTTTAGCAATATGTTTTTCAAAAAAAAAATTAAATAAAAAAATATATATATACATATGTATATACCATATTTTCGTTTAAAAAAAAAAAACATAAACCAATGAATAAAAGAAAATTTAATTA